GGCTCTGATAGCTCCTTATTGACTGAGGCAGGATTGAGACCCAGATGGACCCTGGTTGCGAAGCTGGTTCCTTTTTATCGTGCTTTCTCCTCCCTGCCCTTCGTGTTTCTACTTTTCTGTTCTTATGCTATTGATTCTTAGAGAACTAAAAATAAAAATCTTTGTGGAATGGAATTAACTCATTGTCTGGGAACACATGTTAGATCCTAGAACCTCTTTTTCTTGTTTTCCAAGGGCCTTGCTCCTCAACCTGCCTGTCTGTAAATATCAGTTACCTCTGCCTTCTCTCATCCACAGGGGTGCAGTTTCCCTCAAGGCTCCCGGCAAAATGGAATTCAGTCTCCCAGGCTCACCTTTGCTTCTGCCCCTGAGTGTATGTGCCTACTTAAAGAGTCTTGATGTTAAGTAATATATAAAAATAAGAGATATCGAGAGATATCCAGAAAGTTACAGCTTTCCAGAATCTTATCCATGGCTATAGTCTTGGGCCCTAGTCAGAATTCTTAGCTGAGTTGCAAAGATAGGACATCCTGGGCTTTTTTATCCTGTGTTTACCCTAAAGATATAGTTCAAACACACTCCTATCCTTGCCAGCTTTCAGAAAAAAGCTAAGACTTGAAGATGGTTCAGAGCTGAATGGTGTTTGCCTTGGCCCAAGTGGACTCTTTTCATTAGAGGCCTTCATACTCAAAGGTTGACATTCTGCTCCCACAGGATGCTCTTACTCACTTAACATTCATAAGAGTTGATTTTGTTCTTTGGTTTTCTTCTACTTTTTTTTTTTTTCTTTTCTTTTTTTTTTGTAGACGGAGTCTTGCTCTGTCGCTAGGCTGGAGTGCAGTGCGTGATCTTGGTTCACTGCAAGCTCCCCTTCTGGGTTCACACCATTTTCCTGCTTCAGCCTCCTGAGTAGCTGGGACTACAGTGGTGCCACCACGCCAGTAATTTTTGTATTTTTAGTAGAAACAGGGTTTCACCATGTTGCCAGGATGGTCTCCGATTCTCCTGACTCGTGATCCCCACACGGCCTCCCAAAGTGCTGGGATTCAGGCGTGAGCCACCGTGCCCTGGCCCCTTTTTTTAAGTGAGCTACAAAATAGGTCATCACTACCACCTCTATCACCTTTAAAAATTTTTTTTTTTTTTTTTTTTTTTTTTTAGTCTTTCTTCAGGGCCAGGCTTTGTGCTTTTGCTTTTTGTGTAGTATTTATCATTTTGAAACCTTTAACAAATATAGAAAGTAGCATTACTCTTTGCATTTTATAGATCAAGATTACCAAGGCTCGAAGCATTGAGCCACTTGGCTGAGGCTCTGATAGTCCTTATTGACTGAGGAGGATTGAGACCCATGATGGGACCTGGTTGCGAAGCTGGTTCCTTTTTATCGTGCTTTCTCCTCCCTGCCCTTCGTGTTTCTACTTTTCTGTTCTTATGCTATTGATTCTTAGAGAACTGCATGTCACATAATCTGTATTTTCTCAGTTGGGACCAGGCCAAGTATAACAAAAAGTTGCTTCTTGATTTCAAAATAATTGAAAATTGTAAAAGACAACTTGTATTGAATGCAGTAACTTTTAAAATAATGAGATTAACTTTTAAACAGTTACTGAATTATTCTACAGTTAAAAACAATACCATAGTTTAAAACAATAGAAAAAAATGATACCTCTGATTTATTTTTAAACTCAACTTTGTTATTGTTAAGTCCATAAAGCATTTTTGCTTTTATTTTCCCTTTAATTTAGTTCATCTGGTTTTCCTATAAGTCTTTGAATTTGTGTTACACGTGCACTAACTGACCTAAGCATCCTGGTACTTCATCCAAGTTTATCCTAACCTTGAAAGCTTTCTGTGTTCTAGAATGGCTGCCTTGTGCCCAAAAAGCTGCCCCAACCTTAACCAGGAGGTACACTGAACTCGAGTACACAGATGGATGGATGACTAAAGTTCTCTGAGTCCTACTGGACAGATTTTAGTTGTGTGTTGTGTTGGTTTAATATGAATTAAAGAATGAGACACACATTATATATTTGTGTAGGTGTAATTTAAATTTTTAATGTTTACACAACTAAAAATACAAACGACAAAATTTTCTGAAAATGACATGTCTGCAACAGCCTCTTACAGCTCTCCTATCCTATTTGTGGAAGATGAAATATTGTTCTGGGGAGAAAATTATCCTGGGTTGTTACAGTAACAAATTTTTGAAGGGTATTTATTTTTTAAAATCCTTCTAGAACAATCCTGGCATTTGAAAGTCTCTGTTTTTGAACACCCAAAGGAGAAAATCTTCCAATGTGTTCATAAGACAGCGGCCATTTTTTTCCATTCTGTATGCCTACAATCTAAAAGTCTTAGTTACATTTACTGAAAATTCATAGAGTGAATCTTAGACTACAGCCAACCAACCCTTATGCAAATGATTCGTGACCTTGCAACATATTGGAGGTTCCCTATAAATACTTGTTGAATTAAAGCAAATTTAAATTACGTTTAGTTATTTCTTTGAACTTTAAAGTTTACTCAGTTCAGTGTGTATTAAAGATGAAATCTGTGGTTTTGTATTCAATCTCATAATATGCAAAAGGCACAGAATGTCAATTGTGGGTAGAAACGCTGGCTGGTAGAGTATGCTTCACTCAACATTCTGTTGCTTCTCATTTCCAAAGAGCACCTTCAATGTATTATTAGACCAACAGTAAATTATATTGCAAATCAGTATTTAGAAAACCCTCTCCTGGTCTTGAGGCACGGCAATATTATCAGACTTTCTAAATTCTATTTCCAACTCTACCTTTTTGGGAAGTCACTTTATCAATTCTAGTATGAGTTTCTTCTGGTGAATAGCAGCAATAATAATCTCACCTATGTCATAGGGTTGTTGCATGGGTTAACTAAGAACTCTAATGTGGCATTAAAATTTTGTTTTAGAAGTGGAAACCTCTCTAAGGTGCTGTACAACGTCATGAAATGTTATATTTATCAGTTACCATTTTTACCATGGATATTGATTGCCTTTGTGTAATTATCTATGCCTACCCATATTCATTAAGAGCCTTCAATTTTTAGAAAAGGCATTAGATTATTATAATGGTGGGGTTTCATTTCTTCACTTTGATAGATTTCCCTATGCTGTTACTATTGTTTTATTGTTATTATTACTAAGATTTACCATAATGTTAGAGAATATACTTTAGATTAAATTATTTTAATTACATTAAGTGATGCACATTATTTTTATTGAGTATTTACTGTAATTTACTTAGTAATTCTTAAATCAAGGGAACATGATGGTACTACACTGGAGTGCTTTGGAGCCTGTTCACTACTTTGCAGTAAACAGTGGGCCTCCCTCTCTCCTTTTCATTAACCCATGACTCTTCAGGCTTCACTCTCCAGTTTGTGCTCACCCACCATATGATCTCACCTAGTTTTATGGCTTAAAATAACGTCCGTGAGCTGATTATATATGTAGCCCAGCCCTCTTTCTAACCACAGACCTGATGCCTCCACTTGGATGCCCATCAGGTTTCTCTGACTTGCCATGCCCAAGACTGAGTGCGGTCATTCCTCATAAACCATTGACTCCTTCTGTCTTCCCCTTTTTAACTAATGACAGTTCCCTTTTTCTACTTGTTTAGCCTAAGAATCTTAAGACGTCCTTAACTCCTCATTTCCTCTGGTCTGTCAGCAAACCCTTGCAGCTCTACTTTCAGAATACATCTAGAATCTCACCACTGCCACTGCTACCACAATGACCCAGCCCACTTTCCTCTCTCCCCTAGGTTACAATAATTGCCTCCTACCCCTGGTCTCTCTAGTTCTGTCTTTAGTCCACTGCAGTCAGTTTCAACACAGCAGCCAGAGTGATGCTGTGAAATGTAAATCACATCAAGTGACTCCTCTGCTCAAAGCCCTCTAGTCTAGTGGCTTCATCTCAGAGTAAAGGCCAGAGTCTTGAATATGACCTCTAAAGACCTATGTGATGTGGCTCACATTAGCTGTTTATCTCTATCTTTTCTTACTCTCTACTCATTCTTTTCTGCTCCTTCACCCTGGTGTCCCTGCTATTCCTAGAACATGCCAAGTAATCAGTCCTCACCTTCCTCCCTACCACATTTGCTTTTCCTTCTTGCTGGTATATGTTCTCTCCTAGATGTCCACACAGTTAGATGGAAGGATTTATAGGGCTGATGGATCTATAGACCTTTATTTAAAAATCACCTTGCACGTTCCCTTCATTTTTCTCCCTAGTGCTTATTACTATCTAACATCTTACACATTTTATCTAATTACTTTGTCTAATGTGTCTCCCCCAAATCTAATGAAAGTTAAGAGCAGAGGTTTTTGTCTGTCTTGTTCATCACTGTATCCCTAGTGCCTCTAGTAGTGCCTACTACCCAGTGGGTGTTTAGTAAATATTTTTGAATAAATACTAATAAAGCTAGACTACAATTTCATATTTTGCCAATAGATGCCACTCTCTAAGCCTGTGCTGTGCCCACATCTGATTTTTTTTAGTTCCAGATTTTGTTTTACAGAATGGAATAGTTTAACATTTCCAATTGTGTAATTTGAAAGTGAAATTACTGTGAAATCCCAGTGAAGTCACATGTATAAATGGTGGGCAGGCATAGCAGCTTAAACAGCTGCAGTAGGGCTTTTGTTTAGATTGATGCTGTTGTGACGTCTACAGGAAATGTGCACTATTGCCTGAACCCATGCAGCTATCAAAAAATTCAAACAATGGAGAAATATGGCTGTACTTATATGAGAACATGTTTGGAAATAAGTGTAATGTTATCATGTGTAATCTAAAGTCTCAGCTGCATTAAGCTGACCATCTCCTCCTCTATATTATCCACAAATCATGTATTTTTACTTTTTTGAGGAAGAGATTTCAAGGCAGGAAAGAAGTAGTTTTATATTCTGAGTATACATATTAATGTTTTGTACTAGTATACTCTATTTTAACAGTTACTTTTTATTATTTTAATCAGGGCAACACAACTATTTATGTGCTGGAAGAAATGATTGCATCATTGATAAGATTCGACGAAAGAATTGTCCTGCTTGCAGACTTCAGAAATGTCTTCAAGCTGGAATGAATCTAGGAGGTAAGTTTTGTATTTGTAGTTTAATAAGAATTGTTAATAGGTAATGCAGCACCACTCAGATCTGAGTAGTCTCGAAATTGAAAACGAAGCCAACAGGGAGCAAAGTTTCTGAAAATCCAATGAGTTCTGTTTTCGTGCTAAAACATTTTAGGAGAGAAATATTTATTAGCTGGAGTCAAAAAGAGGTATGTTTTATGGCTATAGCTCTAGTGAATTTTTCAAGCCTGAATTTGCTAAGTTTCAAGAACTGGGCACTTAACAAAAAACAAAAAAAAAAATGAATGACTTTTATATAAACCCATAGTTAATAGTTTTTATTGCCACATCTGTTTAGAAATTAGACCTATATGTGATAACATTACCCACATAGGAGTACATACCTAACTTTAGAGGTAAATGTAATAAAGATATATATGAAAAAAGCTTTGAAATGTTATAGAGGCTCACTAAAAGAGGGGGAGAGGGTAAAAAACTAGAACCAGTTCAAAAGTATACAACATCCATGGATAGGAAGACTCAGCATCCTTAAGATATAAATTTTCCCTAAGTTAATTTGCAAATATAGTATAATTCTAAGAAAAATACAAATTGATTATTCGAAATCCCTAAAGAATAGCCAGGAATATTCTAGAAAAGACAAATAATGAGAGGAACTAGCTCTACCAGATAGGAAAGTATACTATAGCTACAATAATTAAAATAATCTGTGGTATTTGGTTATCGATTGTTAGACAGATTAACAGAAGGTCAAGAAATAGATCCAAATAATATAGGAATTTTGCACATAATAAAACTGACATTTCAGATCAGTGGGGGGATGGGAGATTATTCAATAGAAAATACAACTGTGACAATTGGATGACCATCTGGAAAACAAGAAAGTTGAATACCACCTCTTAACTATACTCCAGAATAAATGCTGATGCGTCAAAGATTTAAACTTAGAAAAATAGCCACAGAAGTACTAAAAGAAAACATGAATTTTTGTTAATACTCTCCAAGTAGAGAAGACCTTTCCAAATCCCACTATCTGTGGGTTTCATATTGCAAATTCAACCAACTATGAATTGAAAACATTTGGTTTAAAAAATAAAAATACAAAAATACAAAATTTGAAATACAATGTAACATATATATATATATAAAACATAGCATTCACATTGTATTAGGTATTATAAGTCATCTGTAGATGATTTAACGTATACTGTAGGTTGTGCGAAGGTTATGTGCAATACTGGATTCAGGGGGTCATGGTGGACAGGAGGCAGGACTAGATTGCAGCTCCAGAAAAAGCAGCATGTGGAGGCTTGCATTGTAAATTTTAGCCCCAGATCCACTGCAAGAACAAACCAGCAATCCCAAGAGGACCCACAGACCCTCTGAAGGAAGCGGACTGCTCCCGTAGGACCTGGGAGATGCCCTAGCTACTGTAAGTCCCCCAACTGCAGAAGTGGGAAAGGGAGACCCTCCTCTCCTGAACACACACCCTACTGGAGAAGCTGAAGGTCTGTTTGTGGGAGAAGTTTCTGACTTTACCTGGAGCTGAGTCAAGTTAGAGAGCCCAGCAAAATACAGGGGTAGAAGAAGCAGCAGTAAGGTCCTGGGAGCTCACTGGGTCCCCAAGCAGCCCATTCCTGCCTGGCACCACAGGGATCCATCAGGAGGGTGGCCAGAGGAGCAAGGGGTAAAACTCCAGAGGGAGAAGGAATTCTCTAGCTGAACTTTGTAACAATTTGAACAGGGCAAGAAGCCTCCTTGCCAGAACTCCGGGGAGGGCCCAAATCAGGCCTGCAGACTTCACAGGCAGGGGGAGAACTAAAGCCCTTTTCTGTGGCAGCTGGGAGGCAGATAGCCTTGGGCAAGTTTTCAAACCCCTCTTGCCTTCTCCCTGGAAACAGACTCGGGGCTGTTGGGGCGGCTCGGTGGGAATGAAACCAGCCCTTCAGTTTGCCTGGGAGCAGGGTGAGGCCTGTGACTGCCGGCTTTCCCCCACTTCCCTGACAACCTGCATGACTCAGCAGAGGCAGCCATAATCTTGCTTGGTACACAACTCCAGTGACCTGGGAATCTCACCCCCACCCCCTACAGCAGCCACAGCAAGACCCACCCAAGGAGAGTCTGAGCTCAGACACGCCTAGCCATGCTCCCACCTGACCGTCCCTCCCTATCCACCCTGGTAGCAGAAGACAAAGGGCACATACTCTTGGAAGTTCTTGGGCCCCACCCATCACAGTTCCCTCAGCACACTACTGCAACTGATGATTTCTGGCAATCGCCACCTCCTGGCCGGAGGCCAATCAGCACAAAAACAGAGCATTAAACTACCAAAGCTAAGAATCCTCACAGGGTCCCTTGCACCTTCACCACCTCCACTGGAATAAGTGCTGGTATTCACACCTGAGAAACCCATAGACAGTTCACATCACAGGACTCTGTGCAGACAACCCCCAGTGCCAGCCTGGAACCAGGTATATTTGCTGGGTGGCTAGAAGAGAGACAACAATCACTGCAGTTTGGCTCACAGGAAGCCACATCCATAGGAAAAGGGGGAGAGTGCTACATCAAGGGAACACCCTGTGGGACAAAAGAATCTGAACAGCAGCTTTCAGCCCTAGACCTTCCCTCTGACAGAGCCTACACAAATGAGAAGAAACCAGAAAACCAACCCTGGTAAAATGACAAAACAAGGCTCTTCAACACCCCAGAAAATCATACAAGTGCACCAGCAATGGATCCAAACCAAGAAGAAATCCCTGATTTACCTCAAAAAGAATTCAAGAGGTTAGTTATTAAGCTAATCAGGGAGGGATCAGAGAACGGCAAAGCCCAATCTGAGGAAATGCAAAAAAAGATACAAGAAGTAAATGGAGAAATATTCATGGAAATAGATAGCTTAAAGAAAAAAAAAAAAAAACAATCAAAAATTCTAGAAACTTTGGACACACTTTTAGAAATGTGAAATGCTCTGGAAAGTCTGCGCAATAGAATTAACAAATGGAAGAAAGAAATTCAAAGCTCAAATACAAGGTCTTTGAATTAACTCAGTCCAACAAAGACAAAGAAAAAAGAATAAGAAAATATGAACAAAGCCTCCAAGAAGTCTGGGATTAAATTAAATAACCAAATGTAAGAATAATTGGTGTACCTGGGGAAGAAGAGAATTCTAAAAGCCTGGAAAGCATATTTGGGGGAATAATCGAGGAAAACTTCCCCAGCCTTGCAAGAGACTTCAACATCCAAATATAAGAAGCCCAAAGAACACCCAGGAAATTCATCACAGAAAGATCATCGCCTAGGCACATTGTCATCAGGTTATCCAAAGTTAAGACAAAGGAAAGAATCTTAAGAGCTGTGAGACAGAAGCACCAGGTAACCTATAAAGGAAAACCTATCAGATTACTGACAGCAGATTTCTCAGAAGAAACCCTAAAAGCTAGAAGGGATTGGGGACCTATCTTCAGGCTCCTCGAACAAAACAGTTATCAGCCAAAAATTTTGTATCCATTGAAACTAAGTATCACATATGAAGGAAAGATACAGCCATTTCCAGACAAACAAGTGCTGAGAGAATTCGCCACCACCAAAAGAACTGCTAAAAGGATCTCTAAACCTTAAAACAAATCCTGGAAATACATCAAAAAGAACCTCTTTAAAGCATAAATCATACAGATCTATAAAACAAAACAAAAAAAAGTTAAAAACCAAAAACAAGAAAACCAAAGTACAAAGGCAACAAAGAGCATGATGAATGCAACAGTACTTCACATTTCAATAACAACATTGAATGTAAGCGGCCTAAATGCCCCACTTAAAAGATGCAGAACCGCAGAATGGATAAAAACTTACCAACCAACCATCTACTGCCTTCAGGAGACTCACCTAACATGTAAGGACTCACATAAACTTAAAGTAAGGGGGTGTAAAAGGCATTTCATGCAAATGGACATCAAAAGCGAACAGGGGTCGCTATTCTTATATCAGACAAAACAAACTTTAAAGCAACAGTGATTAAAAGAGAGAAAGAGGGACAGTATATAATGATAAAAGACCATGTCCAACAGGAAGACATCACAGACCTAAACATATATGCATCTAACACTGGAGCTCCCAAATTTATAAAACAATTACTAATAGACCTAAGAAATGAGATAGACAGTGACACAATAATAGTGGAGAACTTCAATACTCCACTGACAGCACTAGACAGGTCATCAAGACAGAACGTCAGCCAAGAAACAATGGATTTAAACTATACCTTGGAACAAATGGACTTAACAGATGTATACAGAACATTCCATCCAATAACTGCAGAATACACATTCTATTCAACAGCACATGGAACTTTCTCCAAGATAGACCGTATGATAGGCCATAAAACAAGCCTCAATAAATTTAAGAAAATTGAAATTATATCAAGCACTCTCTCAGACCGCAGTGGAATAAAATTGGATATCAACTCCAAAAGGAACCTTCAAAACCATACAAATACATGGAAATTAACCTGCTCCTGAATAAGCATTGGGTCAAGAACAAAATCAAGATGGAAATTTAAAAATTATTCGAACTGAATGACAGTAATGACACAACCTATCAAAACCTCTGAGATACAGCAAAAGGAATACTAAGATGAAAGTTCATAGTCCTAAATAACTACATCAAAAAGTCTGAAAGAACACAAACAATCTAAGGTCACACCTCAAAGAACTAGAGAAACAAGAACAAACCAAACCCAAACCCAGCAGAAGAAAGGAAATAACCAAGATCAGAGCAGAACTAAATGAAATTCAAACAAACAATACAAAAAAATGAAACCAAAAGCTGGTTCTTTGAAAAGATAAATAAAATTGATAGACCATTAGCAACATTAACCAAGAAGAGAGAAAATCCAAATAACCTCACTAAGCAGCAAAACAGGATATATTAAAACTGACACCACTGAAATACAAAAGGTCATTCAAAGCTACTATGAACGCCTTTGCACACATAAACTAGAAAACCTA